GCCCAGAACTGCCCCCAACACTCCAGGTGCGGCCTCAGCAGAGCTGAGCAGAGGGGCAGGATCCCCTCCCTCGACCTGCTGGCAACGCTCCTCCTGCTGCAGCCAGGATCCCGTTGGCCTTCCTGGCCACGAGGGCACACGGCTGCCTCCTGGGTAACCTGTTGTCACCCAGGACTCCCAAATCCCTCTCTGTGGAGCTGCTTTCCAGCAGGTCAACCTCTAATCTGTGCTGGTGTCTGGGGTTATTCCTCCCCAGGTCGGGGAGGAATAGTTGTCCCTCTTGCTACAGCACATCTAAATGCCCCTGCGTTGTTACATGTGCAACCTTCCCAGAGAAACCAGACGTCTGATTCCTCACTAGCAGTGAGTGTTCACTGGCATAGAAATTTCTATTGACTCAGCTCCATCTAGTATTAATTGTAAAAAGGGTCACTCCAGCTTTCCTCTGCTTGTCTTAATTTTTTTATGCATTAAAATGGTAATTAAAATAGCATGCGACATAAAAGATTAACAAAATCCTGTGACTTTTGTTGCATTCAGATGATGAGATATATTTTGAAAAATAGAGGAGCATTTGTTGTTGCTAAATATTTAATCTTGCTGTCAGTGTATGTACAAGGATAGAGCACTAAATAATATATTGAGTCATTCATAGATGTTATGATATAACGACTTTTTAATATATTATTGGACATGCTGTCAGATAGTCATATTGTAGAAGAATTAGGCCAGCATAGAAATCTTAAGCAGAGCAGGATAAAAATCTGCTTCATGGAAGTTAATTCATATTATTGAATTTCTTAAAGTTGAAATTAAATGACTGATGTTAAACAAGCTGAATAATTTCATGTACTCGTCTTCACAGGGAAGGGGACAGAAGGAAGGCAAGTTTCAGATTTTCTTCTCTGACTTAATTGACACTAATATCTGAATGCTGGGGATATCTCTGAATCTTGTCATAATGAATTTTGGAAAGCTCATAGCATAACAAATATGAAAAAAAGCCAAAGTCACAGAAACAAGCATGTGTGTAAATAGTCATGCATCCTCTCAGAGAGTAAACTTTCCCACTTTAGGCTAGTTGGCTCAGCAAATGGTTTGCATGGAACTGACTTCAAAGAATGATTTGATGTACTGGCTAAAATCTTGCAAGGGGGAGAAAAAAACTTTTTCTGGTCTCCAAGGACCATTTTTGTTTTAAATGCAAATGCAAACTTCCCTACAAATTCCTCCAAATAACAGAACAGTAAAGGGCACAGTTTTTCCCAAATTTTTGGGATGCTCTGCCAGCATCTTCATTCCAGATAGGTTTTAAATCTGTTTCTGTGAAATGGAGAGAACAGAGGGAAGTGGAGAATGAAATATTGAATTAGCCAGGAGAAATACTAGCGTACATGCTGAAAGAAAATATCCTTCAAAATACTCGGGCTTATATTCCAACATAAGATTTTGCTTGGAGACCACTAAAATATCTGCTTTTTTTTTTCCCCCTTTTAGCTAATGTATGTAAAGAGGCATAAGTTGATTTGAGAAAACCTGCCAACAATTCCGCATGAACTTCTGCTTATTAAAAGTGGTATCTTTCTTTTCCATTTCTTCCCTTCTTCTCCCATTTAAACTTGAAGGGGTCTTGCACCTCAGAACAAACCAGAGCTACAAAAGGTGATGGAGAAGAGAAAACGAGATCAAGTTATTAAACAGCAAAAAGAAGAGGAAGCACAGAAGAAGAAATCAGACCTGGAAATAGAGCTACTGAAACGGCAACAGAAACTGGAGCAGGTGAGATGGGAGAGAACACTAACCTGACACATCAGTATCTGAGCCCGTCCTCTGAGGCTGCCTTTGTAGAGAGGAAAGAAAATACAGTTTGTTCTGTGGCACAATTGACTTGATCAAATGCAGGCATCTCTTTTAGGATGAGTCAAATCACGCTGAAAAATTACCTGTTTCTTTCTGATTACATAGATACTGCATATGTCTGCGTTTGGTCAGCTGTATCCTGCTCTGGACCACAGGAACGTGTGGAGGGCTGACCATTGACACTGTGGTGAATTATTCACACTTTACGGCCTTTAAATTAAGAGATGATCCCCTGAAAATGGGTGTCAGACTGCTGTGTATGAAAACTATATGCCTAAGGAATAAAAAAATCAATTGATTCTTTGCACCGGATTATGTCAGAGGCTAGGTAACTTTAAACAGATTCTTATAGCCTTATGAAATAGAAGAATTTATTGGCAGACTTTTTCAAATTAAAAAAAAAAGAAAAAAATCCTCAGACCCTAAGCACAAAGGTAATGTGGAGCTGCAGCCCATTGCAACTTACTGCTGTGCAGGGCCAGCCAAAGGTCTCTGAGCCTCTTTGTGTATGCATGAGGAAAAATGTCCACAGTGAAAAAGTCTCATCAGGGAAGTCACTCTGCAGAAGCATTGCATCTATATTTAAATAAAGGAATGCTGTAAAACAATATCTACTGTTTCTTTTAACAGAAATCAGCTAAGCCAAATAGTTACCCTGTTAAAAATGATTTAGTTCAGTCATTATTTGGATTTTTTTAATGTATTTTTATGAAGTGTAGAAATATTTTGAGAGGTGGGGAGAAAACTGTTTTAATTTCAAGGGTATCCTGCTCTTGCCTTTCTTCTGTACTCTTAAAAAGGTGAGGCCAACTTCAAATCATTCTGATTTCAGGAAGATGCCCGACTTTATCTTGCTCCATCCAAGGGCATATGTAGAATAGACAGCTCTTGCAAGAGGTAAAGCTTGGTCATTGCAAGCAATGCTGTGGCTTTGTAAGCATCCCAGGAGTGACATTAATTGACCATGTGACTCATGGACGAACATTGCCATGATTTACCGTAACGAGGCATGTCCCTTGTTGAGCCAGAAACAAAGGAGAAATAAGTGAGCAGTAAATATAGGTGAGCAGGACACGGTGCCCATTAATCAGGAGACCTTGGTGTGTTCATAGGAAAACTCCTTTCAGGATTGCTTTAGCTCTTAAACTCTTCCCAAGAGTTGTTTCTTCCTTTCTGCTGACTTAGTTGCCTTCACTGAGGGTTCCTAAGCAGTCCTTATTTTATGCAGTCTCTAAGCAAAGTCTGTGCTGGCACCGTGTAGCCTTGCCCTGCAGAACACTGCATCCCACTTCACAGGTAACTCCGAGCACCTGCATGGGCAGGAGCTCCAACCGGTCAAAAATGTCAGTGAATGGACTGCCAGAACTGGATCAACCTGGGGGCCAAGGAGGTTTCTTGTTGGCACTGATCTTTGTGATAAGCAAAGCAGATATTTACCAGAAGTTGCTTAAGTTAGGTAGCTAAGTCTGTACCTATACACACAAATAAATGAGCAAGTGTCCTCAGTTATATCTGTTCATATGCATTCTCCCATGTGACAGAATTTTCTTGTCCTGCTGTAATAGCCAGAAAAGGGAATTACTGTTACTTTTTCAATGAGGATGTCAAAGAATTTCTTCAAAAATGCTTTACTTTATTGTCTTTCTGGACTACCCAGATTTTCTCTGTCTGGCAAAGGTGTTTGCAGGCTTAAGATTAATAGTTTATGAGAACAGATACTCCCAAGGAAGTACAACTTTATCTTTTCCATGATGGGAAGAAAGGAAGCAATCTAAAACATTTTGCACAACCAGTTATTGAGGTCAAATATCTCTATCTAAAATAAAATCTCATTTTTTTGTCTTGTATTTTGATGATCTATTTTATGTACTTCTTTTTTCTACATGTGAATCCTTTAAAGCTGGAACTTGAGCAACAGAAGCTGCAAGAAGAACAGGAAAATGCACCTGAATTTGTCAAAGTCAAAGGCAACTTGAGGAGGACGGTCCAGGAAGCAACAGATGCCCCAGAGTCCTAGAGCCAGCTCCTGCTTAGACTTCCAGTGTTCCAGTGGTGGCTGTTGAGAGGCTTCTGCAGGTTGTCTCAGATTTGCCCCTCGAGGGAGAATAAGAACATCCAAGTGACACTTGCTGGAAAAAGAGATTTTTTAAAAAGTTTCTGGGACGTATGGATTAAAAAGACTGTAACATAAACAGACTGACTTGCCAAACGCGGTTCTGAGACCAGTGGATAAGGAGTCTCTTTGTCAGTTCGGTGTCGTGGACCGGTCTGAAGTGCTTGCTTGGAGATTTTAACCAGGGATGCTAGAGAAACTTCTTCAGTGTTGCACTGCTTTATCTCTTGTGATCCTAGTTTACTAGAGATACCCAGATTATATTTTGCTTTAAAACAAAATAAAAATCCTTTTTGCTGTGCCCTGCAGCTTGTGTATAGCCCACAATAATTCTAATTTAATTCAAATTTGGATCAAATCTGGGGAGAAATGAGTTATGTTGATCACATCTGTGCATCCACTCCAGGATAGATAGGTGTGGGGAGATGAGAAATTTTTTAAATTCACCAGCAATGAACAACCAAGCAACCTTAAAGCCCAGTTATCCCTGTTGAGAATGTAGAATCTGGGCTATGGAAGAGCAGAAATCTGACCATCCTCCCACTGGGGAGAATCCACAAGCTGATTTCCCTGCGTGTCTAAACTCTTCCCTTCAAATATTGTGCACAGGCCTGGGCAGAGCTAACTGTGAATTTAGCTCTGTCATTTCTCAATGCAAAATGATGCATCTTTCTGTTTTGAAATCCCACTTTGGTGTTGTGGCCTTTCTCCTCCAAGGATGTGCTGATCTCAGTACAGTGTTAACACATTACTTGGTAGTGTTTAAATTTATTTCCTGGGATTGAACAGAGATCCGGTTCTGTCATCGTGTCCTGCTTAGCTCTTGCAGGAACTTGCCGTAGTTCCTGCAACAGAGCAGTGTTCAAACCAGGTCAAACTGATCACGGGGATCTACTGAAAGAGATTTTTTTTCCTAAAGTGAGGCATTAAAATGAAATTTATTTTATCCCACCTCTTCCTCGTGCCTCAAGAGAGAAGGGGAGTATGTCATCACTGAGTGTTAGGGTCCAATTCTGTCACCTTCTGCCTTCCTGCAAGTTGCCCTTGGGACTTGCCTTTCAATAAAGTACTCCTCGTCTTGTGTAGGGTTGGCAGCTCTGATCCTTCATGCTTATGACTACTAGTTACCCAGGAAAGCCTGGGATGAGGAGGGAGGAGCAGATGACGCATGTAGGAATAAAGAACTGGATTCTCCATTGGTGTGAGCGGGTGCAGGTAACTTCTCTTGAGAAGCTGGGGAGAAATCCTCATCTTCCCGAGTGGCTCATTCCTAGATCTCACTGAAGCTGGTTTCATCCACACCAGCTGAGGACCTACTCATAGTCTTTGCCTTAGGATGTGAAACAAAATAATTTCTACTTCGTAATTGCATTGAACATAACTGCTTGAGAACACTTTTTTATTAATGTCAACAGTGGCGTGTTTGTGTTGTAAAGGTGATCGGGGAGGGTCAGTTTGTTTGTTTCTAGTTTCTTTTGCCTTTCTAGAAGGTATTGGACATTTTAAATAAAATTTCAGCTTAGCGCTCGGGACACAATGCTCCCAATTAGCAATGTCTCCTAGATACAGCCTTCCATTTGTCAAGATCCAAGCATTTCTCATGAGAATGCAATCAGATTAAGAGTAAATTAAATTGTGATAAGTGTATTGCCATTGACTTAGATTTGCAGTGTGAGTCACGTCTAGAAGATTAAATGTGGAGATGGTTTACCAGACTGTTCACACTATGGACATACGAAAGACAAAGGCCAAACCTTTATATTTTCCTATGTATTTTCTCAACAAAGGAACACCTTAACTGCTGCAGATTTCTTCCTTCCCTCTCTTATTTCCTCTGGATGGAGAGGATCTTAATTTTTGGCAGCACATTTTTCAGATATTTGCACTGATTGAGCTTGTTTCGTGTTGTTGATTGTTGAGGCAGCACTGTATAGTGGATTTCCACACCACTGATGTTCCATCTTAGCCATTCCCTGCCCACCAAACGTCTTAGTACCTGTTGGTTTCCGCTCTGCAATTGCCTGCTGTTAGCATGGAAATCTTCGGAAGCTGGAGAGAAGCCCTCTTTTGGCTTGGTGAGACCATTTCTCCTCAGCTGTTTCCCCTCGATGAACGTGGCCATCCTCGCGTGCGCGCACAGGGAAATGAATGACGTTGGGTGTAATCCAGGTGCAGCGGAGCCCGCGCCTTTTTTGCGCAGGGAGCGTTGGATTGGGCCCTCTAATGACGGGTGCTCTCTGCTTTCTGCTTCCTCTTCATACTGGCTTGTGGTTCGGGGCAGGGTTTCTCTTTCTGAAGCCCAGGAAGCCAGGAAACATCCCTGTACATGCAGTGTGAAGTCGGCTTGTTTTCAGCTGCGTTCCCTGTACAATAGGACGTCGTGTTTGTTAGAGCACCGTTCCCGCCGATCTTTTAGTCTAGGAATCCACATCACCTTCGTGTCGATTAGACAGGCAAAAGCTTGTCTTTAAAATCAGGATTGGGCTGGAATGGGCAACCCTTGACTGGGTGTCCAGCTCGTCACACCGCAAGTGTCCTGTGCGGCTCCTGCTTGCCAGCAAAGCAAGTTACTGCTCTGCTCTTCAGCTCTGTGAACTTCGAAGCAACCCTGCAGATACTCCAATGAGAAATCTTCCTGATTTAAAAATGGCTCACTTTTACCACTTTTGCCTCTTAATAAGGCAGTACTTTTTTAAAATGCTCTTGCTTTTTGATAGTATAGTAGTAAATTTTTAGAATCTTTGTGACTTTAACCTTTTGTTAATATCTGCACTTGTTTGAGTGTACATATATAAATATATATAAATATAAAAAGGGAGCCTTAATGGATTTGTTTTCATAATTTAATATTTTTTGTATTTGCTCTTGTATAATTGTTTTTAACTAAAGGTATTACAAAAATGAGGGTGGAGTACTTAGAACCAAAGTTATGCTTAATAAAATCTACTACATGCTTGGAATATGCAGTGGCGGGGCTGCAGCGAGGTGTCCAGGTTATTTAATATTCTGCAGTGCAGGGGGAAGCATCAAGATCACAGTGACTCTTCGTTCCTTAAAACGTCTCCTGTGTTTGTATGTGCAAAATCATTGGCAAATCATTTTGACCGAGGCAGAAGAAACTTTTTATAATCACCTGAATATTTTCCTCGCATAACGTTTTTTTAAAAAGACCGTGTAGCTGTTCAGCAAATTCAAGGTAAGGGGCAGCATGAGGAAAATCAGCACCGGGTAAAATTCACACTTGGAATCACCAGCGCTGCAGCAACTCCTGTCAAAAAGGCAAGTGAGAAAATAGTAATGAGTCTGCTCCTGGGTTCAATCCTACAATGGTGCTTTTAGTTTAGCGTGCCTATGGTTCTAGCAGGGAAACCTGGATACGTAAAACCACGTTTATGCTCCGAGTATTTGTTGGATTAAGGTCAGATGGTTGCGTGCCTTACAAAATTGAACCAGGAGCAAAATCCTCTGTTAACAGCAGGCTGAGAAAACTAGCAGTGGGGGGAACGGGGCAGGCAGAGGTGGGGGTGATGAATTCTGTCTGCAAATGCTTAGCTCCTAATGATGAGCCCTGGTCAGCCAGGGACAGGTGTTGATGGAAGGGGAGACACAGAAGTGCTAGAGTGAAATGACTTGGGGGAGGAGGAGAGGAGCACTGAATGCAGAGCAGATGTCAGGAAATGCTTTTTCCTTCAGAAAGGCTCAGCATGTGGAAAGGATCCTGGCTGCTGATGCAACGAAGCTGGATCTGCTCCAGGAGCTGTCAGATGTGGGGGAGGTAAGAAAGAATAGGGAGTTAAAAAGGGAGAGGTTTCTACGGCCTGTTAGAGATATTGCCCTGTGCTCTCCTACCTCAAGCGTGTCCAAATGTGTTTTGAATTATCCTTTGATATTTCGTTCCAGCTCCAGAAGGAAAACAGAGTGGAAGGCGTTTGATCTGCTTTTGTGGCAAGTCCAGCAAAAAAGATGATTTCTTTTGTATGTTTTTTTGGATTGCGCTGAGCTAATGCATTGTGTCATGTGGCTTTTGCAAGCGCAGGTCTGCGGCAGAGGGATCCTCATGATGGAGCTTTGCTTGCGCTCCCGTGGCCGTAAGTTAGTTGGTTGTGTCACACCATAGCTCTGTGAACAGAAGTACCTTGGCCACCTTCACAGGGGCCATAAATTAAGTCATTTCCTACGCAGCCACTCTATTCAGTTCATTAGTGCAGTGCAAATAATAACCTCATTAAAATCTGAACATCAAAGCAGTGTGGTGTTGATAGGATCAGTATTGATATCTATAGGGTAAAGAATGAGAGAAAGAGTTTGATTCTCAGTACATACTGATGGGAAGACAGCTCAAAGTGGGTGAGAGCTGGAGAGGTGGAAACCCAAGGTATTTTCCCCTCCACTTTCAGCTATTTGCACAACACTTGAAATCATCTGGCGGGGCGAAGGTTTTGCAGAGCTCCTGTAAACACTAATGATGTCTCCCCTTGGTGGAGGTGATAAAAACAGTGGCCCGGGGATTATATTTAGTGATGGCAACAGAACACAGTAAGTTTCCACTCCCATACCCATGTTTCATGGCCCCTTTTCTGAGTTGCTTTAGACCTTGTTAAAGGCTTCATTCAGTCCCTCGCGCTCGCTGACACCGCTGCTTCTCTGAATATACCTAGGGACTATTTCTGTCACTTTTTTGACGGAGTGCCTGGGGTTTCCTTCCGCTGAACCTCTGATGGTTTCCTTTGAGCTAACCATCTGGATTGCGTTCATATCCACACCGAGGAATCAGCCCTCTGGAGTGCAGTTCCTTTCCTTCGCTATAAGGGAATCTACACACACAACTTTCAGGGAATGTCATCCACATCGTAGGACTCTGAAGCTGAGTGATGACACCTCTAAGCACCCCTACATTTTTTTATGTAGATTTTTCCACCTCAATAACCACTAGACACCCAAACACCTCCATAGATCTGGCCCTTAAATCTCTTTGTGCTTCCTAAACAGGGATAATGATCCCTGCCTCTCCCCTGTGTTTCCA